CACTATTCACTGGTCTCCCCAAGAAAGCTATTGGAAGACTCCAGCTCATTCAAAACTCTGCAGCTAGACTACGGACGAATACCAAAAGGAGGGAACACATTAGTCCTGTCTTAGCTACTCTACACTGGCTTCCTGTAACTTTCAGAATTGATTTTAAGGTGCTTCTCCTCATATACAAAGCTCTAAATGGACAAGGACCCAGCTACATGGCTGACTCTCTAATGAACTACACACCCGCCAGAACACTGCGATCATCAGAAGCAGGTCTATTAGAGGTCACCAGAAAGAGTCATAAGAAGATCGGTGATGCAGCCTTTGTAAACTACGCCCCAAAACTGTGGAACACGTTACCCAACAATATTAGGGAAGCCAATACATTAGGCATTTTTAAAAGGCAGTTTAAAACCTATCTTTTTACCAAAGCATTTTACTGATTTTACACTATTATACTGCACTATTCTCTGTGATTTATTCTCCATGTTTTTATTTTTAATTATTTTATCCCATTTTATGCTTTGCTCTTGCTGCTTGTTTTACACTGATTTTATGTCTTATTTTTTACTAATGTAAAGCACTTTGAACTGCAATCCCCTGTATGAAAGGTGCTATATAAATAAAGTTATTATTTTTGACCGGGGTCTTGAGAGGGGTCTCATTACCGGAGGCTACTGGGTTTATGCCGGAGGTACTTGAGATTGCCAGGCCCTTAAATCGTATACTTTCTTCCTCTTCCTCAAGCACAGCAGCAGTGGCACTCTGCTGCCTGGGTTTTAGCCCCTTTTTCAGCCTGGAGCGCAGGGTTTTCACCTCATCAATGAGGGCATCCTTCTGAGCCATCAATGCCACATTTTCCAGCATCACCTGCCTGCAGTCCTCTTCGTCACACTCAGTATGTGGGGAGAAGAGTGGAGGGTGCACCGGGTATTCCTCCTCATTGTCTATATCCAATGATGTAGCCATTCCAATGATGGGATTAGTCTCTCTGAGGTCATGGAGCAACTGCAGGGCCACACTATGCTTCAGCCTTGCCAGGACCTGATGTGCTTCATCTCGGGAGAACTCAGGGTGGTCATGAGTTACATGACGGTCTAGTCTCTTCCCAGCATATTTATTCGGCCACTGGCCATTTAAAGAATGATGCCTCTTTCCTCCAAGTTCCGCACTGCATGTTTGTGCTTACGGTGCTTGTTCAAAGCCAGATAGAAGAGTCTGCAACCGGGCATTCGGACGACATCCTTACTAAAACAGACACAATGAATTGTATTTAAATTATTTTATGTTTCTCCGTTTATATGCGTTAGCATAACCGGTGATTGCAACAATGGGTCCGATGCTTCAATGCCTGGTACACGGACCAAGGGAGGACTTGGGTTACCACCGGGTTAAATGGTCCCACCTCCGCACCAACGCGGGGCTGGTGATGGCAACATTGGGTCCGATGCTTCAATTCATGGTGCCCCGACCATGAGAGGGTTTGGGGTGCCCCGGAACCAGGCAGTACCAGGAAACACGTTTTATGGTCAAAGGAGGAAAGAGTGATATAACCGGGGTAAAGCAAAGAAAGTGTCCGACAATAGTGACTTGTGAGGCGGCCAGAGAGTCTGTCATCTCTCGGTCCTATCCTCCAGGCAATGCGGTTACCAGAACTGGGTCAAATTGACCAAAATGTAAAAAAAAGTTTCAATTCTTCCATGAAAATGAAAAAAAGTATCCGAAAATAGTGCTTCATGAGCCCACAAGAGTCCCCTGTCAACTCCGCTTGCATTCCTCCACAGTCAGAAAAAGTCTGAGTTAACTTTTTGGAGATCCATAGAAAAGGGGTGAAAGTGAGAAAATGTATCCGAAAATAGTGTCTCATAATGCGGGTAGAGTCCCCTCAAACTACCCTTACATTCCTCCAGAGACCAGTTCAAAAACTTAAAGTTTGGTAAGAACCATGCTAGGGGGTCTCTTGGCAACAAATTCATTCGAGCCAGAGTGCCCATGGAGCGGATACATTCCTCCATGAAGTGAGACAGCCGTTTTTTTTCTGAGTCCTCTCCAAAACCGGGTTTCCGATTTCGTGCGGATAGTAGTCTGAAATGGATGAATGCATTTTTTTGACAGAGAAGGGGAGGCTTGGATTCCCCTCTCCGTTGTAAGTTGTACGGGGGAGTGGAAAAGTGTCCGGGGCTTCGGCCTGAAGCGCCGAAGGGTTGAGCTTTTTTGAGACTCGCACTCTTTTTTTCGAGAATTTTTTTTAACTTCATTTTTGACTATTTTAAGATATAATTGACCGTTTTCTTTACTTTTTTCTTCTTTCCGCGTGGGGGCGCATGGCAGGCCGCCTATGAGCTCCCAAATTCGGCCTGGAACCTCCAGGATTTGTGGGCTAAGCTCCATAAACTGACAAAGTCACCCAGAAATGTCACTTTTATAGCCCAAAAATATATAATACTAATACATTTAAATAGTAAAAGGTACAATTGTGCTCCGAATTTCCCGGAATTTGATTTATATAGCCCCATGATAGTGAATACATATCATTTTCATGGAAAAAAGTGTTAAAACGCCTGATTAAAGCATATGCAGAACCCCAGTGAGTTCCAGACTATGTGCATTGTGTTTGGGAACCATGTTAATGATAACATCAATCATTTAAATGCAAAAATAATGATTAAAAATCATTTTTAGGGGACAACTGTGGAGAGGAGCCTGAAAATGACTCTCCAGCACCCCGGAGAAACGACAGTGAGACCCACAGAGCGCACCCAGTGTGCTCCTTTTAGCACATGGCTCTTGCACCCAGAGAACAGGCTGCTTCATCTCACTTTATAACCCAGGAAAGGAGCTTGAATGGTGGGTACATGAGTGTTAAAAGTGCATTAAACTGTTTTAATTCAAATGTGCATTTGACTGCTTAAACAGCCGGTGATATGGACAGAAAACTGTCCATTTCGTCCACATTTAACTCATGAAATGTACAAGAAGGTAAAAACAGCAGAGTCACTGCTGTTAGCAGGGTCTCAGACTCACAGGCACATATGCAGAGATCCAGGGTGATGCACATGGCTTTTCTACCCAGCAATAAGTATTTGAAAGGCGGGGAAAAGTGCTATGAATAGAGGGAGAGAGCAGCCAGAGAGAAGAGGGGTGTGAGACTCACAGAGCACACCCAGAGATCTCCTTGCAGCACATGGCTCTTGCACCCAGAGAACAGGCTGCGTCACAGCACTTTACAAGCCAGGAAAAGTGATTGAATCCTGGGTATACATGTTTTAAATAGTCTGATACCTCCAGGGCGCATCACCGCATTTTACAAGCCAGGGAAGGTGCCTGACTCCTGGGTAAACATTGTTTAATTGTTTAAGTGTTTTTAAATGTGTGAAACAGTGTTTTGTCACTTTCAAAACTCTCCCGTCATTGACCGGAGAAATTGGGTCGATGTTGTATTCAATCTGACCGTTAATATTCCAGTGAGACGAAGTACGTACAATGACCGGAGTGATCCCATGTTAATTTTGTCCCAATACCGGAGCATTCCCTCACCCCTAACCGTAACCCCCTAACCCTGACCTTAACCCTTCCTCACCTGACCTAAACCCTTCCTCACCTGACCATACACTTCCTTTTGAAGGAGTATTTTAGGTGTGTTTGAAGGAGTATTTTAGGTGTGTTTGAAGGAGTATTTAAGGTGTGTTTAAAAGCTCTGACCGTATGTTGTTCTCCGCAGCTTCCTGAACGGACAGGTGTTTCTGAGCCTCAGAAGGCAGGACTTCCTCCTCACAGGAACCTCCATCACATACAAACTGCTTACTTTAACAGTCTGAAGGGTCAGAGTTTAAACCGCCGGACCTTAAACGCGTCGTCCTGCACAAACAAATACTTCCTGCAGGCCGCAACACACACCTTCAGTTAGGTAACTGCACACACACCCAAGCCTTCAAAAATAAGAGCCCCAAGGTGTTATGAAATACTAAGGTCTGAAAAACACAGACTGATCATTAATACTTCAGCAGTAATTATTATTCAACTGGCCTCAGCTGCATTCAGAAAGCAGGGATTAAAATATAATTAATATATAATATTCTATAATTAAGATATGAGGAGGATGAAGTTGAGACTCACCTGTCAGGTGTGTTAGTGTGACAGTAACAGTTAGAGAGCCGATAATGCATTATTATAAGTACATTAATGATTCATTATAATGAAGTCAAAGGAATTTACAGACAGGCAGTACCACCACAATAAAACTCAAACCTCTTGGACTTGGTGCTTTTATTTAGACATCGGACCATCTGCAGTCTCTGTGTGCAGGTGTCGGGTTTCAGTCCGACCGGTTCCTCTGGTGCCGACAACATGAAGACGTTAGCAAACATAAAGACGTCCACATTTCAAAGGTTACATTTTACACACTGTCGGCTTTTAACTGCTCTCCATTAACACTCATTGTGCATTCTCGGTCCCAGCCATACAAACCTGGAACTCTCTTCCCACTCAAATCAAAGACAGACACATACCACCTTCACAGCACACTTAGGGTGCGTTCACACCAGCCTTGTATAGTCCGGTTGAATCGAACCCTGGTGCGTTTAGCCGCTTGGTGCGGTTTGTTTGGGTCGGTGTGAATGCACCCTAAACAACATGGTTCATGAGAACTACACCTGCACACACTAGTCTGTTGAGTATGGCGTGTTACATGTTGTGATCATGGATGTTGCCCCTCGTGTCTGTTATGTGATTGTGATGTGCTCTATGTGACATGTACTGTATGTAGTAACATGTGTTGTTTATTGTTGTCTTTTATCCTCTCGCCTGTATCTACTTGTCTTTCATCCTTTTTATTTTATATTTGTTAACAACTAATGCTGTTGATATATAGTGATTTTAAGGGTGTCTCTTACCATCCGGGGACAACAGCTGGAAATTAGCCATGTCGGATAAAGCTGCTCCATTTACTGTTTTGGGGACTGTCCACGACACCATAAATAAATAACTAAACTAAACATGAAAAAACAAAGTAAAATATGTCATGCTTTTATTGTGAAATGGGAAAACAGTTTTTATAAAAGCAGATTTTTTATTGTGAGAATCAAATAATTAAGGTTCATTAAACAGATATTAAACTTAAATGGAAATAATAAAACAAGTTGATTCCTACAAACAAATTATTAAACATTGGAGGGGGGCTTACATCTTCAAACATTTCAGAATACAACTTTATTAACACAGAAACCTTTAAAGAAAGTTTCCTTTTATAAAAAAAATAGCGTTTAAAAAACATCTCAGCATCGGATCATCCCCAGAACCGCTGCCGGCCGGCGGGTGGAGTCAGCGCCTCCTGAGGGGCGGGTGGGAGGCTGAACACCGACCCCCCCGCCTCCACTGTGAACAGAAAGATCATGTTGGCGACCGTCATGGCGATGCTCGGCAGGAAGGAGAGGCCGAACCCGAAACCCCGGATACTGCTGCCGAACGCCGCCGCCACCCAGTACACCAGCCTGAGAAACAAAACAAACGCACCTTTAGTTAAACCAGCCTGAGAAACAAAACAAACGCACCTTTAGTTAAACGAGCCTGAGAAACAAAACAAACGCACGGTGACCCTGAAGTGCAAGATGCCACAGCATTTCACATTGGACGGAAAGGGTATTCCTTAGGGAGAACACTTCTTGTTTGTGATTGGACAGAGCCAGCCAGAGAAGCACTGCTGTGATTGGTTGTTTTTGCTGCCAGTCAAGAAATGACGCTTCGTGATTGGCCCAACACATCAGCCGTTAGCTGTTAGCACACACTCCGAGCTCACAGCTCCTCATATCTGTTCAGAAACTGGACAAAAGTTAAACAAGTACAAACCAGAGACTGTCTGTGTCATGGTGAATACAGTCGCTGCTTTATTTATGTAGCAGCTACAGGTTAGTTTAGCCTGATCGATCCGATTCCGATAGGATTTACATGGAGATACGGCCCACCCCCTCTCCAGCGTCTTGTTTGAATGACAGGAGTAAACACAGAATGAATGCTTTATTAATTCATGGTTTTTAAAGGGGCTTATCTCCATGTAAATAATATGGTAGACCACCCAATATTCGCATCGCTCTAATCGCTCGAGTTTCACCGCGGCTGTCAGCTGTGTTTGCTCCTGTCATTCAAACAAGAGGCGCTGGAGAGGGGGCGGGGCGTATCTCCATGTAAGTCCTATGGGAGATACCAACTACAACAAAATGAGCATATTTGACCGTAATTTAAATTGTAATACACGTTTCAAAGTGATGCCGAAGTAACTACATACTGATAACGGTTAGGAAAAACCATGAATTAACGCTTTGACAAGTCTGCAGACAGACGGCAGGCGAAAAGCTTTTAAAATGCGTGTTTTCTGACTAGAGATCGGATCCATCAGGCTAAACTAACCTGTTTTCTGCTCCGTCCACACTCACAGCAACGTCATACAGACATAAATAAAGCAGCGACTGTATTCTCCATGACACAGACAGTCTGTGGTTTGTACTTGTTTAACTTTTGTCCAGTTTCTGAACAGATATGAGGAGCTCTGACAGAGACACAAAACAAACGCACCTTTAGTTAAACCAGACAGAGACACAAAACAAACGCACCTTTAGTTAAACCAGACTGAGACACAAAACAAACGCACCTTTAGTTAAACCAGACAGAGACACAAAACAAACGCACCTTTAGTTAAACCAGACAGAGACACAAAACAAACGCACCTTTAGTTAAAAAAACCATGACCTGACAAACAAAAAAAACGCACCTTAGAGTTAAAAAACCGATCCTGAGACACAAAACAACAAACGCAAAATCCTTTAGTTAAACCAGACAGAGACACAAAACAAACGCAACCTTTAGTTAAACGCAGACTGAGACAACAAAACAAACAAAAATACACCCTTTAGTTAAACCAGAAACAGAGACCAAAACAACAGCAAACCTTTATTAAACCAAGACTGAGACACAAAACATAAACGACCTTTAGTTAAACCAGCCAGAGACAGCAAAACAAACACGCACCTTTAGTTAAAAACCCAAACAGCGACACAAACAAACCACCTTTAGTAACCGACTGAGACACAAAACAAACGCAAACCTTTAGTTAAACCAGACAGAGACACA